GGTAAAGTTTGAGCCTCACTTTGGTCCCCACGTCACCTGGTTTGAGATCAGGTGCCCTTATTGATGAGGTATGCCCCACTCCAGTCCTCCGTTTCCTCCCCAGCAGTTTCCCATTACTGCCAATCCGTTTCTTACAGTATTATGATAATTGTTCAGGGTCTGCTTATGAAATAAATGCAATTTAAAAAAATTGAAAATGGAAGTAAAAAGGCTGACTGGAACACGAATCTGCAAGGACACTCGCATTTCAACAGAAATTCTCATGCTTCACGGGAGATAAATCAATGGTGTCTTGCAAAGCTGGAGCATGTGATGATTGTCCTGCACCAAGGGCATCTGGAGCACAGAGCAGCCTGAGTTCTGAGTCTTGCCACCCGATGCTTCTGTCCTGGGCCCTAGGTCCCCTGCCCAGACCCTGGGTCAGTGCCTGTGTGGAACCTCAGCCTCCCTGACAACGGGACTTTCTAAGACACAGATCTGATTGCTTTCCCCACCCCATCCCACTTCTCAGACTGAATATACAAAGGGACAAAGGCCAGACGAGACATAGAAACAGAACCCTGACCCACACCAGCTGGGAAGCCAGTCCTTATCTGCAATAAGCAGCCTGGGCAGCCAGCCATGGTTATCTCTAGCAGCCATCCAGGACCTCAGCGATAGCTCCTGTGACACTCGGTCCCCGATTCCCTGGACCTGGTCATTCCTGATTTGTGTTCCTGCTTCCAACCTGGGACCAACCAGAGGAAGCCACATGTGCTCCCCAACAATCCCACTTATCCCAACTCCAGGTCCCCTCTGCAGTGTCCCCAGACAGCACCCCCCCCAGGGCATACTGGGGCTGCCATGTGTCCAGTGTGAGGCTTACCCCTGCAAGGTCTCTGCTTCTGCCAAACACCAGTGACAGGTGATGTGCCAGCTGCAGAATGCTCTGGATAACCAGCCTTTGCTTGCTTCCCCACCCCAGACCTCTTAGGGTCTGTTCTCTGCGGCCTGGGTGAGCCTGGGTGCTGCTGGAGGACCTACGTGTCCTCACTGGGTGCTGGTGTCACCTCATCCCAAGCTCCAGAGACCTATTGCCCTCTCTGGACGACTCCTGCACAGCTTCCTCTTTCCTTCACTCACCCTTTCCTCCCTCTCCTGCCTCCTTCTTCCTCCTCTTCCCCCAACCCTTCCTCTCCTACCCCCAACCCCCATTCAACCTCTCCCTGCAGTTTCTGGAATCTGGACAAAAGGTCCGACAGGTTTCCCTGTGGCCTCCCTCTGTGTTCTATGTAAGGCTGCTTGCCTCCCGCCCTCTTTTTTTTTTTTTTTTT